CTCTAAAAAAAAAAGTATAACACTATATGCCTGATGCACCACTGGCATGAAAAGGATCTTTTAATCGTAAAGCAAACTCCCTGTTTGGGTTCAGAGGCTCCGTGTGGGTTTCAGTGCGTGGGTTCCAGTGTCCTGGTGGGAGTTTTTGGGACCCTGTGTGGTTTCCAGTGTGGGTTCTGGGGCACCTGTGTGGGTTCTGGGACCCTAAGTGTGGGTTTTGAAGCTCCCATCTGGAAACCAGGATCCCAGTGTGGGTTCTGGGGCCCTGTGTGGGTTCAAGAGTCCCTGTTTAGGTTGCAGGGTCCCTCTGTGGGTTTTAGGACCCTTGTTGGGGCACCAGGGTCCCAGTTTGAGTTCCAGGATCCCCATGTGGGTTCTAGAATCCGAGTGTGGGTTCTGGGACCCCCATGTGGGTTTTAGTGTGGGTTCTGTGGACCCTGTGTGGAAACCAAGAACCCAGTGTGGGTTCCAGGGCCCCTGTGTGGGTTCTGGGGCCCTATGTGGGTTCCAGGATGGGTTCTGAGGCCCCTGTGTGGATTCCAGGGCCCCATTTTGGGGGACAAAAAAAAAACAAGCAAAACTCAGACCCTGGCACGAAGCAAAAGTCTAAATGGACAAACAACCAGGACTTTCCACAGGGGCTTACAGACGGTGAACAAAGAAGAAGAAGATGATGAGCAAAGCAAACATAATAAATATACCTTATCTGTAAAGCTGACTGTACAAAACTACCAGCAACTACCTCGGTTCAGATGTACACTGAGTTCAAAAATCAGCTTTCCCAGGATTCACAAGCACCCACTTAATCAACCAATCACCAGTTTACAAGCAACCTGTTAATCAACCAATCACCAGAAACCAGTTAATCAACCAATCACTAGCAACCAGTTAATCAACCAATCACCAGAAACCAGTTAATCAACCAATCACTAGCAACCAGTTAATCAACCAATCACCAGCAACCAGTTAATCAACCAATCACCAGCAACCAGTTAATCAACCAATCACCAGCAACCAGTTAATCAACCAATCACCAGTTAATCAAGCAATCACCAGTTCACCAGCAACCAGTTAATCAACCAATCACCAGTTAATCAACCAATCACCAGCAACCAGTTAATCAACCAATCACCAGTTAATCAACCAATCACCAGTTAATCAACCAATCACCAGTTAATCAACCAATCACCAGTTAATCAAGCAATCACCAGTTCACCAGCAACTAGTTAATTTACCAGTCACCAGGTGCCAGATCATCATCACTGTCCTGTTGTGCCATTATATGTCACAATCGAGTTGCAGCCTACTCTTCCATTCCACTATATCCTGTGAAATCATTTTGATATCATGGATGGAATCCAGTCCAGCACCTTTGACATCTCATCAACACCTTTCTCATGGACATCGTTTCCTTCATCACTTTATGTCCCATTTCAATGATTGTCTGGTGATTCTCTGTTCATTTCTTCTCATAATGCGTCCAATATAGCACTATTTTCTGTGTCTTATAGGCTAGTAAGTTTCTGTAATGTTTTTTTTTAAAAACCTAAATGATTTTACTATCAGTGTAACCGAGAATCACTGCAGGCATAACCTTATATAGTCCACTGACATTTTCACAAAACTGTTGTGACCACTTTTGTGTCGGCTTCTGTGGCTTAGAAGTTGCAAATGCACTTCCTAATTCTGAAATACTTGGTTCGATTCCAGCTGCTGGCAATCTGGCAGGAGACTTCTATGCCCTGATTTTGACAGTGTCATGAAGCCCCAATCATTCAGAGGAGTGTAGAGCAACCATGGCCAGGTCCTGAGTACAATGATTTACTACAGAGGAGACGGGAGCAATTATGGCCAAGTTCTGAGTTCAATGATTTACCACAGAGGATTTTAGAGCAATGGCAAACTCCTGATTGTAAATTTGCCTTGCAAAACTGAACAGCCACACACAAAAAAAAATTTGCTAGGGTTTGTTCTGCAACATCCTATGAAGGATAGGCAACTAACTAACAGTTTTGTGACCTAGTGCAATTCTCACCAGCAACAGAATCATTTCTGTCTGATAAGTGTGGATCTCAGGTTGACCGAACCACACACAATCGATCCTGGACAATTTACAGAATCCTCTGGGAAGGAAATACAGGAACTGACACCAAAAGACCTGAAGGTCAACCATGCAAGTGATGAAAAGATGGAATGTCCGATGCTGTAAATACCAGCATCTATGTAGCTTCTGCCAGACAGTGGCCGTTGCATTTTTGCTCCATTTGTAGACTGGAAAGATTTCGTTTCGTCACCCAGCTTCTGAGTTGAGTGCATGGTGTGACACTGTGAGCTACGTGTGTTTCTCGTTGGCACAAGAGCGGAGCAACTATGGGGTGACCCGTTTGCTATGAAGCTGAAACTAGGATTACCAGATTACCAGATCTATGTAGCCTATACCAAGGCTCGCACATTAAGGCTCTGCAAAACTTGACCCTGAAAGGTAGAATAGGACCACAGAAGAAGATGAAGAAGAAAGAAACGCAGTGAAGAATTAAACTAATCACACCATTTATTCACACCCTAAAAGTAGCATCAGACAAAACACTACCTTTACCTTTAGTGTCCAATAGCAAACTAAAGTTAACAGATGGGGAAAGTAAACAGACAATGTAAAGTAAATAGGTACTGTAAAGTAAATAGATAATGTAAAGTTAAAATATAATGTAAAGTAAATAGATAATGTAAAGTTGATAAATAATGTAAAGTAAATAGATAATGTAAAATAAATAGATAATGTAAAGTCAATAGATAATGTGAAGTCAACTGATGAAATAAAGTCAATAGATGAATTAAAGGAAATACATTAAGCAAGAGGAGCATGTATAGTCAACAGATTAAGTAAAGTCAATAAATGAATTAAAATAAATATATTAAGTAAAGATTGGCTAATAAACAGCACCCTTTCTCGAAAGCTGAAATATTTTGGTCATATCAAGCGCCACAACGGATTGGAAAAAATTATAGTAGAAGGCATGGTACCAGGAAGGAGGGGCAGAAGCCGACCAACACGAATATAGGCACAGGATATAAGTGACTCCTTGAGTATGAAAGTGCATGAGGCGGGAGAACTGGCGAGAGACCGAGTTTCTTTTTGGCAGACTGTGATGAGAGCGACGTTCTGCAAAGGACCTGCTACATGAAGATATTAAGTAAAGTAAGCAAATTAAGTAATCTCAACAGATTGGGTAAGGCAAAATAATTTTTTTTAAAATGTAGATTAATTAATGTAAAAGTAATAGATTACGTTAAGTAAGTAGATTAAGTACAATCAACAGATTTAGTAAGGTAAAATAATTACATTAAGCAAAATAGATTAAGTAATTTACTATCAATAGATTAAGTAAGTAGATTAAAGTACAGGAAAACAGACTAAGTTAGGTAAAAGGGTTAGAAAACAAAGTAAAGTAGATTAAGTAATGTTAAGTAAGCAGATTAGGTTAAGTAAGTAGACTAAGTAAAGTTAAAAGATTAAATAAAGTAAGCAAATTAATTAAAGTCAATAGATTAAATAAGGTAAACTAATTAGATTTAAAACAGTAGATTAAGTAGTGTAAAGAAAGCAGATTGGTTAAGTAAGTAGACTTAGTAAAGTCAAAAGATTAAATAAAGTAAGTAAATTAATTAAAGTCAACAGATTAAGTAAGGTAAAATAATTAGATTAAACAAAGTAGATTAAGTAATGTAAAGTCAATAGATTAAGTGAAGTAAAAGACCTATATTGAAGTCTTGAGGTGTACTGGGCAAATATTAAAATAAACCAACTGGCACTCTGTGAGTCATGCCCAGCCACCTTTACTTCCCATTACCTATATTCAGACAGAGACAATCAGGTCAATTTTTACAAATCTGCTTCAATAGGGAGTTTGAACATCCAAGCTGGCAGTCAGGAATACAAGTGACTGTGACAAACAGCCAAAATTACATCAAAAAATAAATATGGATCATTAAATATGACATTCAAGTTTTGTAGGCAACTGGTGTAAGCGATAACATTGCTGCCACATTCTTTCGATAAAATATTTTGTTAAAACACCATTTGGTTTTAAAAAAACCGGAAATGTTATAACCAGTTACATATACCTTTAATATCTATGAGTCTATGTAAAGATAATAAATATGTCTGCAAATATAGCAACAGTTCAACAGCAAACAGATCTTCTCCTTGTTTTTCTTTTTCTTTGCCTACAGTGACAGGTACTGACAGAAACCCTAGTATATTCCTCACATATTGCTTTATATTTATCAATATTTTCTTGGAACTGAAACAAACACAATCAAATACAGAAGTTCAGGGTACAATGATTTACTATAGAAGAGTTTGGAGCACCAATGGCCAAGTCCTAACTACAGTGACTTATTACAGAGGAGTTTGGAGCAACTACGTCAATGATTACTACATATTCCACAAACGCGTCTGTTTATTTTACTATATATTCATATTACGCATACTTTTAAATTATGTTTGCGAATACCAGCATTAGAATGAAAGTTAGAATAAGACCGTGTCGTGTCTGAATTATATTGACAGACAAAGAATGAAATGGTTCAGAGATCTAATGAAAATGCAGTAGAACATCTGGGAGGAAGGCGAGAGGAAGACCAAGAAAGAGATGGATAAATGGTGTAGATGAAACCTGCAAAAAGTTGAACAAATCCATCACTCAAACCACCAAAGAAGTGCAAGACAAATGCAGAAAATCATGACACTGAGCAGTCGTAACAGTGAGACGACAGCAGCAGGCAGGATTGCATGCAGTGACAGTGAACTTGCATCCAGAATAAATTTGGACTGTTAACAATCAACACTTTTACATTTCAACATTTGATAAACCAAGTTCAATATATATAATTCTAGCCTAAATGCAACTATTATTGATAATCATCCCGTCACAGCTCTTGTTTTGTTTGATCTTTTTCCCTAAAAACACTCAAAATTAAATCATAATCAAGAACTTGCGTCATAAAGATGTAACAGTCTGGCAGATCTGTTTAGACTCTCCTTTGGAGTTCTGGCTGACATACCCACTACTCAATTCCCCCTTGTCACTTCCAGCGGTGCTAGAATATCTTATATGATCAAACTCTATGGAAGCTCTGTGCTCCACATTATGAACATCAATCTCCACGTTACAAATCACCTCCCTTCTCTCACTCTTCCTGTCTGGTTTAGGAGTCTCATGCTCTTTCAAACCCATGATTTCATTCTTCAGTCGGTCACCCCGATCATCAATGCCTTCATCTAAAGACTCGCCCAGCCCCCAACCACCTCTGATACCACAGGAGGGAAGCCCACACAAGCTGCTGCTATGCAAAGTAGCCGAGCACAGTGAAGAGGATCGTGACAAGGAAACTGGTGACCGATTGACCAAAGATGATTTTGAAGACTTTCCAAAAGAAACTAAACCTGGCACAGAGAATGTTTTCCGTTTGTACTTGAGTTTTCCTTGCCAGCCGTGGTTTCTTTGACTGGAGTGATGGAGTGATATCGGTGGACCAGGTGCGGCTGTGTTCTGACTGGCTGAAACCGGCAAACGTATCTCAAGAGAATCTGTGTCCTCGTGTACCACACTTGTGGTTGGGACATCCAGGCATGGGGTCAGGAATGCTGGGCTGTAGTTGAGATAGCTCAGAATATCATCCAGGTCCGGCCGGTATCCAGGGTCCACGGACATGCACCAGTGGATAAAGGATTTTCTGGATATCACATAAGAAAAACAAAAAATAAATTAATTTAAAACAAATAAAAATAAAAATTTAGAAAGTGAAGTAAATAAAATTAATTTCATCATCATCAAGCACAAAAGTTAAAAAAAAAAAAAATGTCTTGTATCATCAATTATAAGGCAAAGAAAGAGGGTGGCAGTATATTGGGCATATCGTTAGCAGAAATTAACAGAGAACCACCAAGCAGGCACTGAAATGGGAACCAAAAGGATTGAGGAAATGAGGATGTCCAAGGGAGACCCAAAGAGGAATGAGGCCAAAAGCGTTGGACCTGGTTCCATCCATAATATCAAAAGGATTGCACAGGGCAGAACTTCTGGTCAAAATGGACGCTAGGCACGGCCACTGTTTTGAGCCGTGGCGAATTTTTTGCTTCTGCAAGACGTGGCCATTGCATTTTTGCTCCATTTGTAGACTGAAAGGACATAGCTTCATCGCCCAGCTTCTGAGTTCAGTGCGTGGCGTGAAACTGTGAGCTGCAAATTTCATTTGGAATGTTTTTCGACTATGACCAATGTGGTGGTGTAAATTGTAGATTTAGAAAATGGCGCAGCGCCTGTTGTCGCAATATTGGTGGTGCCATTATGGGATTAAAACTGATTGCGTGTGCAACTGCTGATCTGCTGGTGACTTCTGCTACCATCCATGATGCACTGTATTTCTAATGTCGGACTGTTTGTGAGCACTTCGGATGACCACCATATGCTTTTAATGCGTGTGTATGCTAGTGCATATGCTGAGTCAGCAGTCTGTCAATCCTTCCACAAGGGACTGTGATAAACATTCTGTGGGTTTTTCGTTGGCACAGGAGCAGAGCAACTTTGGGGTGACCCGTTTGCTATGAAGCTGAAACTTAGATTACCAGATTACCAGAGAGCTCCCACATGGCATCCTGGAACCCACAGGGAAAAGCAGGTTGAGGGAGAGATCTTGCTCTATGGACAACAAATGGTCTCTACTGCCCAGGATTTGTGTTATGCAGAGGAAGAACAACATTCGTGGTCCTAATTGGTATCACCATGGGTTGTGATTCCATCTTTTCCTGAATCCCCATCGAACACTCTGGTCTGCAACTGACAACTGCTTGACTTGGGAGTAAAGCTTTGTGAAGCCCCTCTACGCCATCTTCGAAGCCAAAACAGGAGACATTTATAACTCAACTTTTCATGGGAACAATCAGCGGTGGTAACTTGGAATGGCTGCTGCATCGGAGGTCTGAGCATGCATGGGGAATGCCTAATGTGTTGTGTTGCTGACCGTGATTAATATAGCAAAAATATCATCTGAAAAGACATACAGGTACCAACAGCAGTGTTATTACCCTTTGCCTTCCTTATGGACCCTGGTAACACAAGGGTGACGTTATGTTAATGTGTAATGCTATTTTTTAATTTCGCTATGGACCCAGGTAACACAATGGTGGTATGGTCGTTTCCCTTATAGACCTTGGTAATACAACACAACAAGAATATACCTAGAATGTCTTTACACTCAAGCCAACAGCATCATAAAAATATAAGCAGACCCAATAGTATGTAGAAAAAGGAACCAGAGAGTTAAGTTGAATAAATGGATATGGCAACCCGGCGTGAGCTGGTTGAGGGCTCATGCTCCAGTGGGTGACAGAAGGCAGAAGAAGAAGTGAAGACATTGCAACTTGGAAGTTTATTGTTGTTATTCTTTTCCTTCTATTATGGACCTACAATAATACAAGGATAACATAGTAGGTTACAGTCCGCCCTTATGGACCCTCAATAACACGGATACTGTAACCGGAAAATTGTCAAAAAGCATTCAAACACCCCCCTTATTTTTTAAATTTCACAATTAACAAAAAGAGCAAAAAATTTCACAAATAACCAACAAACTTACAGAGCACCAGGACACTTGTCGGGCAACATAAGCTGGTTCCCTTTGGACACATAGTCGATGACCTCTTTGTTGGATAGACCCTGGTAGGGAAAACTGCCAAACGTGACGATCTCAAAAACCAGCACTCCGTACGACCAAATATCTGACTTTGCCGAGTAAATGCCGTCTTTGAGAGCTTCAGGTGCTGTCCATCGAACAGGTAACATCCCTGAGTGTGAGGATAGAAATGTGTGAGAGAAGACAAATGTGATACTTAAGTAAACAAAGGACATTCTTCCATGGCTTCAGATGTACTGGGCACACAGGGCTAGACCTACATTTTATAGAGCCATCAGCACTTAGCAGGTGATGTGGTCAGCATTAAACTGGCTTTACTTTCCAGAACAATTCCTGGCACCCAATAAAGGCTGGGATGATGTGGGAGTTAAGGTCTTCCCATCAAATTTAAACCCATGACCTTCAGATCCACAGGCGAGTGTCTATCTGTTACAACATGGTGGCTTCTAATGTAATACTTCATTCAGCTGATTCCTCACTTGGGTTCCGAGATCCCATTACCTGGGGGAAGGGGGTGGGGAGGGTCATGACCCAGTTGGAATGCTTAAAAGAAATCATTTAAAAACTTACTTTGACACAGGTCATTAATAAATTAAAAAAAAAAAATTTTTTTTTGGAAATGTACACGTGTTAATGATTTCTTTAAAAAAAAAAAATAGATATATCAAAGGGGAAAGCCATAAACATACAGAGTGAAGCACTAAATTAAATACATATCCAGATTTCTAAAAAAAAAAAAATAGATGTATTGGGTGGGTAACTCATGCTGTGTGTGACCTTACGACCTCTATTTATGAGGCTTACAAGAAAGTCTGATGACAACTTGGCTTTTAAAAATAAATTTTGTTCAAAGGAAAATCCCCAATAATGATTTATTTTAGTTAATAAATTGAAACCTGACTTCATAAACATTAGCACAGGTGCAAACACAGCCAATAAATTCAAACTTGACCTCATAAACGTTAGCACAGGTGCAAACACAGCCAATAAATTCAAACTTGACCTCATTAACGTTAGCAAAGGTGCAAACACAGCCAATAAATTCAAACTTGACCTCATAAACGTTAGCACAGGTGCAAACACAGCCAATAAATTCAAACTTGACCTCATAAACGTTAGCACAGGTGCAAACACAGCCAATAAATTCAAACTTGACCTCATAAACGTTAGCTCAGGTGCAAACACAGCCAATAACATTAACAATACATCTTGTAAACAGGACAATGTTTATAAATGAGAAAGGTTACATTTATGGGAAAATTGCCTTCCAACCTGAAATATCAGTTTCTTGGTTTTTTGGGGCGACAGGGTTGAAGATTTGCAGAAACAGACAATTGGGCCATCAAATGATACCTTTACAATACAGATAATATAACACTGCAACAAATAATACCTTTACGACTAAATCTGTAATAATCCACACTTGAGACGTGCCTAGTCATTCCAAAGTCTCCAATCTTGACAGTCTTGTTGGCGTGAACTAGACAGTTCCGACAAGCCAAATCTCTGTGAGTAAACAGCACAGAAACAAATGTGTCAATGAAACATCTTCTTTAAATGTTAACTGAATAGCATTAAGTATATATGAAATACTAGGCTAGAGAAAGAGAGACTTTCAGGTGTTTGGAGACTTTTGAGTTGTATGCTCTCTAGCATTTTACCTTTTGATCACACTAAAACATAGGGCCTCCTCACTGGCCACTGTCACTGTGTGTGTAAACTCTCTTGAAAACTGTCTGGGTCTTAGCGACGGTCTGCTACATGGCTAGGAGGTGCTGTCACCACAAACTGTGCAGGTTAGGATTTTTGTGTTCCATTTACAATCTCCATCTCTTACCGAGAATTGAACACAGGTCGTCCCGATGAGAGCCAGGAATAGTACCAGGAAATATCCGGGAAAGTAGCGACGGTCTGCTACATGGCTAGGAGGTGCTGTCACCACAAACTGTGCAGGTTAGAATTTTTGTGTTCCATTTACAATCTCCATCTCTTACCGAGAATTGAACACAGGTCGTCCCGATGAGAGCCAGGAATAGTACCAGGAAATATCCGGGAAAGTAGCGACGGTCTGCAAATTACTGACCACATCACCCATGGAGCACTGATTCATCTGAAAATATAGGCCTGCACCAAAGACCCATATGCCAGAAGGCATGGAAATGAGAAATGTATCTACCCACCGGTGTACATATTTGAGGCAGTGCAGGTAACTTAATCCCTGAGCAACATCTACTGCCATCTGTGTTAAGTTCTCAGCCTTGACATCCTCTGCCTCTTTCACCCCTTGGCCAACCAGGCTCCGACGAGATAGCAGGTAAGTCTTTAAGTCACCTGGAGTAGAATCATAAAATAATTATGCACAGGTTTTTTTTTAAAAAAAGGTGTCAATGGAAATGAAAGAGCTGATAGGTTGGCTGGATCCGCTATCACTACCGACGGTCAGCCTATGGATCATGCTGATATTATTAATGACCTCAGAGACATGGGAAGGATAGAGGACTTTGGGGGCAGTGAATTCACATCACTCGCCAGAATGTCAGACTTGGAAATTAGGATCGGCATAGCAAAAAAAGAGACGCACACCAGACACGCCAGAAGACTTGTTAATCAACATAGAACTGGTACTATTAGCCATCAGACGTTTGGGTTCATACTGAGGGGAGAATCTGAGCACCTATGGACATGTCCGGAGTGCAATGATGATACCCCAACTAACTAACTAACTAACTAACTAACTAACTAACTAACTAACTAACTAACTAACTAACTAACTAACTAACTAACTAACTAACTAACTAACTAACTAACTAACTAACTAACATCTATGAGGCCTCAAGAACTAGCTATAAGACAAAGGAGAATTCAAGAATCACACAAGATTTTCAAGGGCTCACCATGCAGCAAAAACTCCATAACAGCATAGATGGGTTCCTTTCGGGTGCATACTCCCAACAGTAGAACAATGTTTTCATGTTTGAAACATTTCATCATATCCACTTCACTGAAGAAATCCAACTGGAGACCAAAGAAAATATTACAACAAATGACAATGATGGGCACCATAGATCAGTGAAATATCAAGCAATTATTTTCTTTCTTTCTGTCAACTGTTATGAAAAAAGAAATTATTTTGGGGAGTAAGGAAAACTCTAGCTAGTCTCAGTGATCTCCAACCTGGGGGCAGCGAGGAAGTTTCAAGGTGGGCGTAAAGCAATTATAAAACTGAATGCATCTGTACTTGTAATAATCCAGCAGCTGAAAAGAAAATGTGTTGCTAGCTTGATGTGGAGAGTGCCCTCCGTTTTGCCTTGTCCAACATGAGACCAAAAGTATCAGATATCATCAAGACAAAAGAATGCCAACTATCACACTGATATACAGACACTAAATTATCAGTTTTGGTGATTGTTTCTTTTGTTAGTTGACACTCTGATTTCTGTGGATGTTTTTCTACAAATTCTTGTAACATTACCTGGGATTTCTCTTATTGTTTTTTTTTTTAAAAAATCAATTTAGTTTTGTTGGAAGGGCGGGAAGGGGAGATGGGGGGGGGGGGGGGTTGTCGTGCTCTTGCCAAATACTCAAGGCCTCAAGGTGTGGGGTGTTACCACCTGGAAAAGGGTGGAGACCCCTGGTCTAAATAATGAGGAATTCTTCTTCTTCTGTTTGTCCTTGAAAGGGTGACTGGCATGTTATTTTGTGGTTTACATCAAGACTTTGATATCTGTGCCTTTTGACCATATATATACGATTTCAGCAAACCCTTCCTATGTCACCTTTTACAAAATGCTTTTTGAAGGGACAAATAAAAATTGGGGCATTGGAACCCACTCAAGGAACTACAACCAAGTTTTCTTTTTTTGTTTTTGTTTACCTGCTGTAAGCTCTGGCAGTAAGTCCTGGTTGTTCATCCATTTGAATTTTGGCTTTGTGCTAGGGTCTGAGTTTTGTGTTGTTGTTGTTGTTATCGATCCAGCGGCGCATGAGCTTTCGCCCTTTGGCCCAATGCCATGACAATTGAGTTTTGTGTGTACATTCGTTTTTCTGGCTTATTTGTGTGCAGTTGGTTGTTCCTTGCTGCTCAGGCAGATGCACTCCGACTTTTAAGAAAGCCCCGAATCAGTGGACTTTTACGACATGTTTGTAGGGAGGCAGAGGGTCTATTCTTTTTTTCCCCACAATGAGACTCTGGAACCCACATCGGGATATAATCAAGTCGACTGTACCCTCACAAGCAGTCCTAATGTTTCGTCACCTATCTACCAAATAGAGTGCTTGGAGTAACACTATGAGCTGTGGATTTCAGATGGAATGTTGTTTTTCTTGTGTGTCCACACTGGTTTTGTGTGGTTCTTGTTATTTTTTTGGGGGGTTCTCCTCTTTTCAATCACTTTTTTAAAACAGAGGGCATAGGGGGTCATGCCATATACTGAAGGGGGCACCACCAGAAAAGGTTAAGAACCATTGGTCTAGCCATTGTGACTCTCAAACTAATGTCGGTGCATAACCACATAGCAATCACCTTTTCTTCCATTGTGTGATGCAGCTTCAATGTCTTGACGGCAACAGCGACCCAGCCTTCCCTCTCTTTGTACATCTCTCCTCCCATCACAGTCCCTGCAATATAAAACATGATTGTAAGACCATCTACAGACATCACTCTGTGTTATAAGGTGACAAAATGTGACATTCATTTATGACAGGGTGCCAAAATGTGACAGTTTGTCATGATAAATGATGACCAACTGTGACCTTCATTTACAGTATTATGACCAAATGTGACCTTCAATTATAATAAGGTGGCCAAATGTGACAGTCTGCCATGACAGGATGACCAACTGTGACCTTCATTTATAATATTAGACCAAATGTGACCTTCAATAATAGGTGCCAAATGTGACAGTCTGCCATGACAGGATGACCAACTGTGACCTTCATTTATAATATTAGACCAAATGTGACCTTCAATAATAAGGTGGCCAAATGTGACAGTCTGCCATGACAGGATGACCAACTGTGACCTTCATTTATAATATTAGACCAAATGTGACCTTCAATAATAAGGTGGCCAAATGTGACAGTCTGCCATGACAGGATGACCAACTGTGACCTTCATTTATAATATTAGACCAAATGTGACCTTCAATAATAAGGTGGCCAAATGTGACAGTCTGCCATGACAGGATGACCAACTGTGACCTTCATTTATAATATTAGACCAAATGTGACCTTCAATAATAAGGTGGCCAAATGTGACAGTCTGCCATGACAGGATGACCAACTGTGACCTTCATTTATAATATTAGACCAAATGTGACCTTCAATTATAATATGGTGGCCAAATGTGACAGTCTGCCATGACAGGATGACCAACTGTGACCTTCATTTATAATATTAGACCAAATGTGACCTTCAATTATAATAAGGTCCTCAAATATGATCTTTGTTTGTAATAAGGTGACCAAATATAGCCTTCATTTATGATAGGGTGACCAAAAGTTATCATTTTATATAAAGTGACCAAAAGTTATCATTTTATAAAAAGTGACCAAAAGTTACCTTTATTTATGATAGGGTGACCAAATGAGGCCTTTGATTATCATAGAGGAATGTCTGTTATGATAAGGTGACCAATTGTGACTTTTAGTTATGATATACCATTTAGAGCGAAAACAATAACTTGAATATAACGAATCAAATAAAACTAAACATTATTACAAATGAGTGAAATATAAAAATTGATATGAAGAATGAAAGAAGAAATAACCAACATAAAGATTATATGAAATTATAAAAAACAGAATTAAAAAAAAAACCATAAAAAACTAATATAAATAATTAAAGCCAACAGTACATGAACATAACAGGAAAATAACAGAGAAAGTAACGAAACCAAAAGCAAACACAAAGAGACAAACATAATTTAACACTAAATCAAAACAATAATGTTTTTTTTACTGCAAAATGTCCAGTCTACTATTTAAATTTCTTTGTTCAAATTTAACAACAAACAATTATATTAACTAAGCTTCTGTGTGGATTATAGACCACATTTTGGAAGAAAAACAGAACTGCTGCACTGCTCCCTGACAAATGTAAAACCATAAAAGGAGACAAAGTAGAAGTTTGCTGCAGTTGACTCTGGGACTTCTTGGTGTGCCTGGCCTGGTCATAAAAGTAGGTCATGCCATTTTGAAACTTCCTGCTCCACTCAAACACTTGCTGGATCCACAGGCATGCACATCAGCAAACTGGACCTTCATTTGCCAATGAATTTATGTAGGTTTCACCCACTTACTAACAAACAAACAACAAACAAACACCGATAACAGAAAGCTGCTCCTCTTTGGTGCATGTCAAAAGTTGGTGGCCATCTCTGAACGGTCATTACGACATTACCCTGTTTGTCCACACCTTGACATCACATGCTTAACACTCTTGACATCCTTAATAATAATAAAACTAACAGGTTACAAGACAACAGCACATTATCTTCATTTCTATAAAAAGTGTAAGGTTTCCATTTGAACCCTTCTTGTAGTGGTTCATCATTCTGTTTCTGGAAGTGCAGTTTCACTCAAAGATTTTGAGTTATGTCTTGTCTGATTTATTCTCACTATCTCTTTCTGTCTCTCATTAAATTTTAGACCTAACTGTTGTGACCTCCTATCCAGTTTAATTCACTCAAATGTCAAATAGATAAACATGAAAAATGATGACAACAAAACATATCAACCAACCAAATGCTCCTTCGCCAAGTTCTCGGTTTAATACAATATTTTTCCGAGGTATTTCCCAGTCATCAACAGTCAGAATGCTGGAATACTTCTCATTCAGCAACCCGAGCTCTTTGATCCGCTCATGAGCTTCCTTGAACTTCCTCATCTTAGCATCACATCTAAAAAGAGAAGGCAGGAATATGTTTAGCTATTACTGTACCAAACAAGGGATGCAGGGATGCCAAACCAAACAGGGGATGCAGGGGGGCCGAACCAAACAAGGGATGCAGGGGGGCCGAACCAAACAAGGGATGCAGGGGGGGCCGAACCAAACAAGGGATGCAGGGGGGCCGAACCAAACAAGGGATGCAGGGGGGCCGAACCAAACAAGGGATGCAGGGGGGCCGAACCAAACAAGGGATGCAGGGGGGCCGAACCAAACAAGGGATGCAGGGGGGCCGAACCAAACAAGGGATGCAGGGATGCCAAACCAAACAAGGGATGCAGGGATGCCAAACCAAACAAGGGATGCAGGGATGCCAAACCAAACAAGGGATGCAGGGGGGCCGAACCAAACAAGGGATGCAAAGATGCCAAACCAAACAAGGGATGCAGGGGGGCCGAACCAAACAAGGGATGCAGGGGGGCCGAACCAAACAAGGGATGCAGGGGGGCCGAACCAAACAAGGGATGCAAAGATGCCAAACCAAACAAGGGATGCAAAGATGCCAAACCAAACAAGGGATGCAAAGATGCCAAACCAAACAAGGGATGCAAAGATGCCAAACCAAACAAGGGATGCAAAGATGCCAAACCAAACAAGGGATGCAAAGATGCCAAACCAAACAAGGGATGCAAAGATGCCAAACCAAACAAGGGATGCAAAGATGCCAAACCAAACAAGGGATGCAAAGATGCCAAACCAAACAAGGGATGCAAAGATGCCAAACCAAACAAGGGATGCAAAGATGCCAAACCAAACAAGGGATGCAAAGATGCCAAACCAAACAAGGGATGCAAAGATGCCAAACCAAACAAGGGATGCAAAGATGCCAAACCAAACAAGGGATGCAAAGATGCCAAACCAAACAAGGGATGCAAAGATGCCAAACCAAACAAGGGATGCAAAGATGCCAAACCAAACAAGGGATGCAGGGGGGCCGAACCAAACATGGTGTGCACCAGTACCTAGGATCATACTAATCAAGACCTATCTACATCTTCCCCCCACAGTCAAAGACAGAAACAGATGCCCAAATGGGAGCCTGACCAATGTAGATAGGACTGATGTCTGATTCAAAGTCAGGCTGCATCTGCTTCAGAGTCAAGGAATCAACAGCCTGCACCCAAATAAGCCAAATCTATAAAATGGACGTGCATGCAACATTTACGCTCTGGAACGAGACCAAAGTCACAAAGTGGATGAACAACCAGGACTTTCCACCACAGTTTACAGCTAGTGAACATGAAGAAGAAGACTTACCAAATAAAACATCTGAGGTTACAACAACAAAAAAGTCCAAGACTTTTCTATAGGCAGGATTAGCTTGGAGACTTTGAGCCTGTCTGCAACAGTTGGTAACCCAAGTATGTATCGCAAAACAATTACTGGGGTGTTTCCAGTAAATCCTAGAATCATCCAAATGGCTTCAACAAGTATGCGTTCAAGATTCATCAGCGGACTTTTTGGAATGGTAAGCATTTCAAGCCCAAAATGTGTCACTGAAAGAATCCTATGCTGGAACACTGTAAACAGTATTCTTTGTTCCATTGCTGTCAAAATCTTCAGTACCTTCAGCCCATTTTGGATCCATTTGTCCAAGGACAGGCTTCTATCGAATATGACTCAGGTACCCCAGTCTGCTTTCTCTTGTGATATTTCTATCATTCATTGTGAGGCTCGGGACATCAGCTCTAACAATCCTACTGTCCAGACAGCACCATAAACAAGTGGCCTTTTCTGGGTTGATGACAGCACCCATCTCTGTACATCAGCCAGTCACTTTATCTACAGTTGCCTGTATCTCTTGGGCTGTCTGTTGCCTTTTTTCCCCCATGCCAATATGCAAGAACATCATATGCTAAAGTTAATATCCTCCCAACACCAGATACTGCAAATTCTGCAATCGTGCTCGTATAAAAATATTGAGTATGTGTGAGCACGTGTGTGTGTGTGTGTGCGTGTGTGTGTGTGTGTGTGTGTGTGTGTGTGTGTGTGCAGGAGCCTGCATGTTTTGTTTGTGTGTGCTATTCCTATTTTGAAAATTTTACTTTATTTAAATGGCAGGATAAAAAAAAAAATATTCTGTTCTTAAAATTCAACATATTTAACTCTTTGAGTCCCATGGGGTTTAGCTTCAGAGGCCCTAGGGGTGATAATGCAATTCTGAAATGTCACAAGTGTAACATGGTTTTTTTTTTTTTAGTATCCAGAAGCCATGAGTTGTTAACCCTTAGGCTCTGTATTATGGATATCGCAACCTTTCGGCCTTGATTCCATAATAAATACCGTAAATCTGGGAGAAATGTGGCTTTTCTGCCTACCCCCGGGATTGAACCCCGACCACAAGGAGTTTGTCACCTGTTTAGCCAACTACGCTAGAGAGCCGGGCATTTATTCTCCTTAAATAGCCAAACAATTGCGGCCTTTGGTTTTTTTGTTTTTGTTTAATTCTGACTTCTATATAGTTATTTTTTTTTTTCTAAATCCATTCAAGAAACTTGGCCCAGTCACTACGCGAATAACACCTAATATACAACATTGTTGGTTCTTACTTGTATTTCATGACAATGAGAACAGCAATCACTATGATGA